ATATAAAAAATAAATTGGACAGCAGCCTCGTTTTCTTTGGGTATTTGTTCCATCACGTCTATCAATAACACTCATTAGGACTGTTCTTCATCTGTCTGGACTTGTTTTAGTGCAGCAACTGCTAAAGCGGAGCCAAAGAGATTTGGGATTTTAGCTTGATTCCCAGCAGCTTGTGTTGGAAAACCTGATTCCAACCCTCTGTTAAGGGGGAACGCGAGGATCGACAGTACCAGGATCAGTGAAGAATCGCATCAGTGTTTGTTTTTGTAGTTGCCACATCAGGATAAAAACAGGTTCCCTGCTGAAATAATGCCTCAAAGCTTGCCAAGCAGGTAATAATGAAAAAATAACAACCCGAATTTCAACACATCAGTCTGTCCTGTTCAGCATGGTGTAGAAACACAGAGGATACTGGTCTATTCAGACATTTGGCATAGATAGTTAGACAAAGACAAAGACAGATGCAGACAGACAGACAGATGGAGCGTGAGTCGTTGGACTCCACAGATTTTACCACAGGAAGTCCCTCACTTCCGGCTCAGCAGGCATCGCCTCAAATCCAACCAGATAACTTGTCCCAGTACCGACCACAGGCGTCCCCAGAGGATCCACGCAGGAGCCGCTCTGCCTCCATAAACACCACCAAACCTCTCTCTGCTGCCTCGACGGGAAGTCTGTCTCACAGGACAAAAGTTATCAGCAGTGTCCCATGACTTTAAAGCCCGAAGAGTTTAAATAATTTGTATTTATTTCAATTTCTCCCACTCTTTCCGATTCATTTTCTTGAAAATGCCTGGAGGCAATTTTTACATAACCGTAATCAAAGGCTTTTCTCTCAGACTTGTACGCAGCCGTGCTTCTTGGTCGGGCTGGGCTATAATTCAATACTATAAGTGATCGTCTTTCAATGGAATTGTATCGTGATGAAATCGTATATCGAGGTATCTTGATACGCAATCATGTTGTCTCAGTTGATATTAACGAGCACATAATAGCTCAAATTTCTCCGAAAATCAGATCAATCTCAGTTAAATCAAACAATTGTCTTAATCTGATTACTATGTATTTGTGTGCATGCATGGAAACATAGCCGGTGTATCTCTCTATGATTTCACTTGACACTTTTATGTTTATTTTGCACTTAAATTCTTACTTAAATGAGAAAATAATTTTTCATTGGGCAAGTATTTAATCCAGGCTTTACCATGTGGTTATTTCATATACAGTTTATTTATTGAACTACTCGTAAACATATTATCCAGATATGAAATGACTCATATTGTGAGAGATGATTTTAGCCGTATCGCCCAGCACTTCTTCTTGGTTTCTATATTAAAACACTTAGTTTAGTGAAATACATTGACAGTTGTTGCTTTAATAATAATGGAAAACGTCTGTCCTTAATATCTTAAGACGTCTGCTGTGCAAACACAAATCACTTACACCCTGTGAGGAACGGCTTTATCTTGAATTTTGCACTAAAGTTAACAGCAGGACAAAATAGTCGCTCATGGAGGAGCCACCAGAAACGATTGCTTTGTAAACCAGTGGCTCTTAGGCTCTGAGGTTACTTGAGTGCTTGGCTGAGAACTGATATGAATTATGTAATGAACAATAGAGTTGTCTTCCTCTGCTCATTGCCTCTAATAGTTGACACGTTTCTTTCCAAACAGACAACACATTGCATTAAAGTCTGTCTGGGTTCACTGTGAGCAGCTATAGTTGTTCCTTTAATCAGACACAAGTCCTTATGAGTCAGTAACTTTATGTAGTAATATATTAATAATAGATTTTATTTGTATAGCGCTTTAAAAGGTACTCCAAGGCACTTCACATGATAAAAACAGAACCGATAATAGGAACTGATGGAAAGGACTTTATCTGAGTGAGATAACAGCCGATAATCTAAAAGTAAAGGCTTAACAGAGCATTTATTATGTTATCTCACTCAGCGAGACATGAGTGTAGTGAAACAGTCCTTCGACGAAGAGTCTTCTTATGTGCTCACTCGGCTCAGGTCAAAGTCTGCTTATTGGCTCTACAGCTGCAGCGTTTGAGGTGTGGCTCTCACGGTGACTTTGCTTCTTGTCCACCTGCTCGCCACAAACTCGGCCATTTGCCTGCAGTTTGAATGTCTGGGTTGCGGACTTGTGACAGAAACAAACACTCTTCTTTTTTGTTGTTGTGCATGTTTAGAGGCGGTTGTAACTACAACCTCAATAATAAACGTATATTTGAATGATTAACTCTCTGACAAAGCTGAACATTAGGTAGAGGTGTAGCTAGTAAAGAGTAAAGCGGCCCAGTGATATAGTATTAGTGGCTAATAACACGTTCTGAAATGATCCCTCAGCATGAGTCCAACATGTGGTTAATTGTGCTTGGTAATTGTGTTTCATTACACGTTTCAGCCCCAGGACTGGCCTGGATCTGGTTTTATCACCATTTAAGTGGTTGTTTCCCGATGCAGAGGAAAGCGCTGACGAGGCAGCTGAGCCCGTATTGTTTCCATCGATACGACTGTGGAGACAAAACGGCCACGGATAAAATAAAACGGTATTTGTTATTACCCGTCTGATACTGATGTGGTGATGTATCAGAGAGCCCTCCCCCTCCCTTCATTGTTCAATAGTCCTCCAGAGAGCTACATGTGTTATGTTGTCAACACATTTATTAATCTGTGGTTACATTCTCATGGATTTCACTGCTTTCTTCTTGCATTCAGAAAGCAAGATTACCAGTTAAACCAGGTTCACTGAAGTCATTCTGCTTATCTTCAGGAAGTTCAGTCTGATAAACCTGACCTGGTTCTGGTCCGGTTCCATTTTTCTCCCAATGTGCAGTACACATAATATTCATTACATTTTGATACAAGCTATACTTGTAACATACTTTTCTGTCTTAAGTATCCGCACAGTATTCCAGTCAAAGTATGCGTTTTTAATTAAACTGTAGATGTATAACCTTTATAAATAATAGAATAACGGTTAAAAGAAGCTTAGCTTCCTGACTAAAGCTCCCAGTTCGTAGCATTTTCACAATGTGTTGCTTTTTTAAATGTCACTTTAATAAAATGAAAGAATCAGAAATCTGTCTCTTAATAACGGGCGGAAAGCCAATCAGAAGTCATTTAAACAGTATTTCCATCATATGGAGGCTGTTGTGTACAAATCAAAAAGTATCACAATGCAACTGGGAGAGAACTTTAGTTAAAAAAACAAAACTAATTGTCCTATTATTCTGTAATAAAATAAATGACTTGGCTGCGATACTATTTGGTGCATCAAAGTAGTTTCATGTTGTTTCATTGTGTTGATCTTAGACATTAATTCTTACAGCAATTATCATGCAAAGAAAATTCCCCCCTCTGAACTAACTGAGTTCAAACATGTTTTTGCTGCAATATTTTCCTCTTCATATATATATATATATATATATATATATATATTGAGTATGTGCTCCTTTGTAGCTGTGAACATCAGTTTGTCTTTTATCACTGTGAATTGATGTGATCCCATTATCTCTAAATCTGATTTATTAGTCTGATTAACGTTGGTTGAGTCTTTCAGACTCAGACGGGCTTTTCTGAGCCACCTTTATGAAACCAACCTCAGTTGTCATTCTGAAGGATCTCACATCCGCAGTTCAATAAATGATTACACTGTGTTAAACGCTGATGAATGTGATATCCTATACACACAGCTTCCATCAGCATTCTCTGTTAACTACTAAAAACACCTGACGCAGAAGGTAATGGATGAAGAAAGGAAATGGGAAGTCATTATTCCACTCTAAGCATGATAGTTTAATCTTTCTAATCCTCTTTTCTGCCTTTTAAAATATCTGTTGAAGAGGCTGTAAATGTTCAGCGGCCGAAGGAAACCCGTTTCCAGAGTCAACACTGTTTTAGGACATCATTTAGAAAGCCATGTTTATCTTCTCTTTAATCAAACACGGGCAGGAGAAGTGATCTCTGTCGAGAGTACGGGGTGGACATTTGTAGAGAGTCAGTAGATGTTCTTTTACTTGTACAATATCTGCTGGACAAATGTCTCTCATTTCTTTGAATTACAATTTTTTTTTTTTGTTGCCCATGTGCTCTCTTCAAAGCCACAAACTCGATTGACCAAACTGTGTAGATTAGTTCTCTCGTCTGACACTATTCTAGATATAGCGTACACTAAAACTGGTGTTAAGTAATTTAGGTGTTCCTTTCTTTTATGTAGCTACATAAAAGAAGCAGTACATGGCTGTGCTCCTGTGTCGGTACTTCTACAGTAGCTAATACACTCGCTATGGATAAGTACCTCATACAACCCCTCTTTAAAACACCCGAACACTCCCTTTTAAGTATTTATCAAGTCTGTTTAACAAGCCCCTTTTAACGGGGAAGAAATGGAAGAAACCTCAGGAAGAGCAGCAGAGGAGGGTTCCCTGTTCCTGGTGGACAGACGTGCAATAGATGCCGTGTGTACAGAAAAGACACAACACAATCGCAATATAGACAATCCATATGACATAATGTGAACATTTCAAAGAGAAGGATCCAGGAGGATGTTTAACAGCGTCCAGGTGTCGCCAAACAGCTAGAGCCTGAGCCACATGACCTCCTCTCCACCAGGAGAGAGAGAGAGAGAGAGAGAGAGAGAGAGAGAGAGAGAGAGAGATGATTCTCCAGCCAGCCGGATAATGAAGGAATAAGCAACTAATTGAACATGCGGCCTTTTGCTGTGTGATGTGACGCCCACTGCTCATTTTCCCCCTGAAGCTCAAAGTCCCACTCCACCGAGAAGGGACGTTACAGTGAAGTGGGGGACATCTTGTGTCCACCTGTAAAAAAGACCGAAATGAAAAATATGAATTAAAAAGCTGTACTGCAAGGCGGCAGGTGCAACACAAAGTGCACGCTCGGCTAATATTTCATATGATCAATGGATCTTTTGTCAAGAGCAATGTGTTCAGGCTCAGCTCAGGACAAAACATCCGTGATTGTATTTGTATGGGTTGGCTGTGACAAACGTAGAATATTTGCATGTTCATAGATGTTGGGTCTTTCAATTGTTTAGATGTCATGAGTTTATCTCTGATACGCCTATTATTAAATGTAAGCATTTGTTCTGTCATTGATGGAGATACTCTTTGTTTCAGGCGCGCCTTTTTAAATTCGATTTTGCGTGATTAGTCTCCCCCTCGTCTGTTTTGTCCTCTTTCAGGAACGTTGACCCGTGAGCGGCTCCGTCTCGGGCGGTGCTGAACAGATTGCACCGCCTCTCCCTTTTTCACTTGCCCTTCTCCACGCGGTTATCAAGGTTCTGGTCCGTGTGGCGCAGGCAGTGGGAGGTGTGGAGTGTCTGATGTTGCAAGTCACTCGGTCAGAGGAGAGAGAGAGAGAGAGAGAGAGAGAGAGAGAGAGAGAGAGAGAGAGGCAGTCACTCTGCAGTGTGTGCGACGCTGCACCCTCTCTAGCAGCACCCTCTATAGCTGCCGAGCTGCACCCTCTATAGCTGCACCCTCTATAGCTGCAGAGCTGCACCCTCTATAGCTGCACCCTCTATAGCTGCAGAGCTGCACCCTCTATAGCTGCACCCTCGATAGCTGCAGAGCTGCACCCTCTATAGCTGCACCCTCGATAGCTGCAGAGCTGGACACTCGATAGCTGCAGAGCTGCACCCTCTGTAGCTGCACCCTCGATAGCTGCATAGCTGCACCCTCTATAGCTGCAGAGCTGCACCCTCGATAGCTGCAGAGCTGCACCCTCGATAGCTGCAGAGCTGCACCCTCTATAGCTGCACCCTCGATAGCTGCATAGCTGCACCCTCGATAGCTGCACCCTCGATAGCTGCACCCTCTATAGCTGCATAGCTACACCCTCTATAGCTGCACCCTCTCTAGCCGCATAGCTGCACCCTCTACAGCTGCACCCTCTCGCTGCACTTGGTCACGTGAACACACTGTGGCTGTGGGCGCAGCAGGAGGAGAGGAGTGCTGAGAGCTTATAATGCAGTCGGCAGCCTTGGTAACCGGGTGTGTAGGCGTCCGCTGCTGTTCCTCCCACTCGCTCTTGGGTAATGCCCTGAGGGGGGGTGGGGGGCTGTTATGGAAAAGGGGGCCATCAATTCAGCTACAGTACACCCTCCCTCGCCTCAGCCATCGCCTGCTCTTCTCCTCCATACTCCCTTTTCTCTTTTGACCCTCCTCTCGCGGCCTCCCTCCATTATAATCCCATTCTTTTATAGTCTGGTAACCAAAGGCAACGCATGAGGCCGTGTTTGCCAACGTGTGAACGGCGCCGGTTGGTACACAGAGAAGAGGGGGGGAGACACACAAGGCAGGCCTCGCTGCCAGAGCCTGATTGGCACACAAAGGTCAACCTCCTGAACCAGTAGTAGTCAAATCCTTTCCTGCAATGCAACCCGGAAGTCTGACGCTAAATTCTGGCGGCGTGTTTCTCACAGGCCTACTAAGACTCTGATGCCATAATATAAGCTGCATGTGGTCATAACTGAGGAGGATTATCTGAGTAAATAGAAAAGAAAGTAGATCTTATTAAAACGCTTCAGTCTAGGAGAGTCGCAGCGTATTAAATGATTCACATCCACCAGTCCCCTCCTCCTCCTCCTGGGTTTCACTGTCCTCTCTCCGTTTAAATCAGGCCTCTTGTGTATCGTGTTGCCGGTGTCCACATGTCCCTCCATCTGTCCTGCCAACACGCGGCAGCCACAAGGTGTGAAGCCAGATTCCAGCATTTCTGGCACAGGGAAGGAAAGGTCATCTCCCCCCCCCCTCCCCCCCTCCCCCTTGTAATCTTCATCAAAGGCTCAGGACTCAGAACACAGACACAACACACACTGATGACACTGTGGTGGTGGTAGAGGGCTAAGCTGCAGAGCTCGGCTGTTGCAATAAAGACGGAGCTTCATGATGATTCCTGCATTTAGCATGCTGAGGCAGCGCTCTGTCATCTACACTCAAACAGCTTTATTTTTACATCTGGCTCAGCTTTCAGGCTGTGACTAAAAATGGGTTCTTTTTTTTTTGGCTGTATATTAAAGATGCAGACATTTAGTGGAGTGTTCCTTCACAGCAGGGCTTCTTCTTAGACAAATGATTAATAGTCCATTTTCTTTTTTTAAATTCTATTCGGTGCCAATCACAAAACTTTTATCCATCAAAGTACTTTTTTAAGTACTTTTTGTTTTGTTTTGTCTGATCAAATGTGTGTATTTTGTAATGTACTGTGTGTGTGTGTGTGTGTGTGTGTACAGATGCTGTTCTGCACCCTCAACACCCACAAGATTGACATGGAGAAGCTGCTGGGGGGCCAGATCGGCCTCGAGGATTTTATCTTCGCCCACATTAAAGGGATCAGGAAGGAGGTGGAGGTTCATAAATCTGAAGATGCTCTGGGCCTCACCATCACCGACAATGGAGCAGGATACGCCTTCATAAAGGTAAGAAGGAAGTGAGCTTCTCATCCTGAACATCAACGTTTATTTCACCCCTTAGTTCACTGTGGTGTCGATTTATGTAACATACACGAATGAGACAAGGGAATTCATTTAAATTAATTAAAGTTTCAGTATCAGACATTAAGCCGCATCAAGGGTTAGGATTAAGCTCTAAGCTGTGTTCATCAGTTTAAACTAAGTCATTTGTCAAAGTGTAGGTTGTGTATGTACTACTGACTCATATGAGGACGCAACAATCACTTGTATTATGAATCTATCAATTTGTTTTTCAGATAATCAAATATGAATTTATTTTAAATACATAATTAAATAATGACAACTGCTCGTCATAAACTACGGGGCCCAAAAGTAAAGTTTTCAGTTTGCTCATTTTGTCAAAAATATTAATTTACAATGTTATGAGCCACATAAAAACAAAAAACTATGTACATAAAAGTGAATTTATTATCAAACTGGTCATTGATTAATCTTATGTTGTTTAACTAATCACATAATCATCTAAATGTTTCAGCTTTACCCCGTATGATATAACATACATCATACAAACAAAGTAGTAAATAAAGTGCATGTGTAATAAGTAAACACTTATTATTTAGCACTGAACCTGTTTCTGATCTGATTTCTTTCCTGCTTCAGAGGAACTTTCTGATCATATTTGATTCAAGATGCTCTGAACTACCTCGTAGTGGATGTCACAGCAGTTGACAAATAGACTTGTTTGCATGATAAGCATATTTAAAGTAACTTCACAAGCTTTCTTTCCTAGCTGGAATCATAACTCAGCTTGGTATTTAAGCCTCTGTTGATGCAGACTGGTCTAATGAGCTTATTTGGTCTCGGTCATCTTACGCCACCATAACATGGTGCTCACATGTGCCATCATGTGATGCCGAAACAGCACTACAGCTGACAGTGTTTATGACACACTAAAGCCTCGGGTCAGTGTTGTGATGCTCTTGTACGATGTGAACTTTTAAAGAGATGCTGCGTCTTTGAAGACGGTGGCAAATATGTTTGAAAAATTAAACTACGACATCTCTTGAATGAATAGTGCAGCTTTATGTCACATCTGTTTTACACCGTCTGATGCTGATCGTCTCGGATATTTTATACACACACACACGCACACACTCTCTCTTGGTTTGTTTGCCCTCTTGTTTTGATCTGTATTTCTGACTTGTGGTGCTTCAAACAAACTTGTCTTCGTGTGGTGTTTCATAAATGTATGACGTGAATTTGCTGTCTTTTAATCGTACCCGTCACCGACTTCTTCTTCTGTGCGGCAGCGTATCAAAGAGGGCAGCGTCGTGGACGGGGTGAAGGTGATCTCCGTGGGCGACCACGTAGAGTGCATCAACGGACACAACATCGTGGGGACGCGGCATTATGAGGTCGCCCGCATGCTTAAAGAGCTGCCCAGAGACAAGGCCTTCACCCTCAAACTGGTGGAGCCGATGAAGGCCTTCGGTGAGTGAGAAACGAGATGCAGATCACCACACGACAACCTTCAGGGTTTAGCCACATCCAGACAGAATCTCAGCATGTGAGCCAGGACACATGAGATCATTTTGTGCATTTACACAATCATTTCCATGATCAAAAAAACATGAGAATGCGTGTTTAAAAAGGCTAAATTATACCTTTGCTGATCATTGCGGTGAGACAGACAGCGCTGCTTTTCATTCAGAGCTACGAATAGCTTGTAGAAACCATAACCGGTCTTTTGTTTTAATGTTCACTTGTGGTGATCCGTAGCTGGAAACTTCACTGTATTGTTGCAGCAAAAAAAGAAAACTTTCTGTGATGTTGTTTCTCTTCTGACGGACAGAAATGCTTGAGCCCAGGTCAAAGGGCGCCAAACCTGCCAGTGACAACAAGATCGGTACAGGGAGGGGGACTCTGAGACTTCGCTCCAAGGGCCCAGCTACTGTAGAGGACGAGGTGAGTGTCTTTAGGTAACGCTGCTGAGACCTGGGACAACTCAACAAGGGTTGTGGATGTGATACACTGGGAAAGAGAACTGTCGACACTTTTATGAAGATCGCTTGGATAAGTTGTCTCTTTTTTGCTCCTGACTTAATCTCAAAGGCTCTTTCTGTTGAAGATACACAGATATGACTAAGAAAACAACAAAACACCCACAAAAGATGGTACCCGCTCATCCCCAAATTCTCACCTAATCAGTTTGTCAGTGTTGTATTCAAGACCACCTAACCCGAGACCAAGTAACGACCAAGGCCAGAGTGTATCAAGACTGAAAAGACCAAGACTTTGAAAGGTTGAGACCAAGTCAAGACCAAGACCAGACCAGTGCGAGTCTGGAACATGCAAACCGTATACACTAAATGTGTGTGTATGGCTATGTGTACCAGGAGAAATGCCTTGATAACATAATCAAAAGTCATTGCAGGCGTGAATTTTATGTGTGGGAATATTCTTTTGTTTTCTACAAGCAATCACAGTTATGATTTTAACAAATAAATATAGTGATATCCCCACAGACAGAGTGTAGATGCGGCCAATTCCAAGACGGGACCGATCTTGAGTACTACAACACTTCTATTTGTCCATGACATCTGGAATAATAAATCGCTGTCAGACCGACCTCTTAATTTGCAACACTCCACTAACTAACAATCCTGGGAGGTGCTGTGCAAGAACATAACGGCAACAAAATACAAACAAAATGGAGGAACTGAAAGTGAAACTTTTCTTTTGTTTTGTTTTTCTCCAGCCAACAGAATTCCAGGAGAAGGCAGTGAAGAAAGTGGACGACCTCCTGGAGAGCTACATGGGCATCAGAGACACTGAACTCGGTGAGTGTAAAATATTCACGAGCAAGTATCACAAGTATGCACGTTTTTCACTCACTTTACTGTGAAGTTGCTGACGATGATCCAGCATTGAGATGATTGGCCTCTGCATTTTGTCATATTTAAGGTTTATTAATAACATGGCCTGCAGGTAAATTACTTAGTCTTTCTAGCAGACTTGTAATGTTAAGTGATTGTTAATTTTTGTGTCGGGGGACTTAAAGTAAGTAGCTGATATCTTGCATACTAATTAGTCTCGAGTGGCTTCATTAATATTCATTTAGAGTAGATGATGATATCCAGTTCAAGTACTTGGGCCTCAGTTAGCTCTGTCTGTGACCTCAGACTGTATGTCAAAGCTCTCCAGTCACTCAGTGAAATGCTCTTCTCTCTCTCTCTCTCTACAGCCGCCACGATGGTCGAGGTCGGCCGGGACAAGAAGAACCCGGATGAATTCGCCATGGCGCTAGACGAGACCCTCGGAGACTTCGCCTTTCCTGATGAGTTTGTCTTTGACGTCTGGGGGGCCATCGGAGACGCCAAGCAGGGAAGATTTTAAGTTTGCTCCCGCCCCCTCTCCCCACACAAACACACACTCTCCCTCCTGCCCCAACTCACCTCTTAAGATGCTCAGAGGCTAACTGGACAAGCTTCCACCAGCACAAGCGGGGGTGGATGAAGTGTTCTTATCACTCTGCTTTTAGGTGTAGCTTTGCACTTAAAGCATCGACCTCAGTCATGTCTGTGTTTCGTCATATGAAGATATCCATGAAATGCAGCGTTTCCGACACTGGACTTTCCTCTTGCACGATGAAGAGTCGGTGATTCATTCTTAGTCAACGGTGGTCTATTACACTGGTTATGAAATGGAATGTGCACACCTTACATTTTAAAACAATCAGTTTTAATCACACTTCCTTAGCTGTGTCATTTTGAATATACAGATGTTTAACACAGCTTTTTATAGACTTTTTTTTTTTTATATATATATATATGTGAAAACGTTGCTGACTTTATAGCAGCAGCGTTGTGTAATTAGTGTAATTAGTGATTGTAGCATCGTTTTTCCTCACTTTTTTTTAATTCCCTTACATCTTTTTAAATCTTTTAAATGACCTCTGAAGAAATGTCGGCACTTCAGCCACGTTTACTTTGTGATTTTCTTACAACTCTTCTGTGCCCTCACACGCCTCAGCTTGAGCCCTTTGTCCATCCGTCAAGAGACTGAGCAATACAGAGAACAGCGGGTTTTATCTTTAAATGCCTTTAGCCAACATTCCTCATGTTTCTCATGTTGTCTTAGTCTGTTAGCACAGTTGTCATGAAATGAGGCTTGTTTACAGGTGCATGCTTAATTTTTCCTGTAATTTATTTTATCACGAAAAATCATGCTGCAAGACGTTTTTTACAGCAAGACACGGCTCTGTGTGGAAGACGGTACTTTGCTAAATAAGCCATTTTGCAGGCTGTGTCTGGAATGGGATCAATTGCAATCCAATGTCTTAAAAATGCACTCGCATTAATGTACTGCACTATTTAAATCACAGACAAACTGAATTTAAATAGTGAATTAGTGTCATCTACTGGCAATAGTTGCATACTGTTTGACAAACCATAAGGGATCACTGTTGTTGGATAGACAATAAAATTTGATATACTGTTATTACAGCTGTCTTGAATTCATCGGGCTCACAAACGACTCAGTACAACAAACTTTATTTGCACACTTGGCTGTGTACATGTATAAAATACATCTAGACACCAATGTTTCCATCCCTCGTTCACAAGGACGGTAAAAGAAAGACATCACGATGCATCACTTCACGAGCAGCAAAACAAACAGGAAAAAAAACAAATGGTGTAGATATAACTAAATTAGTATACATAGGCAGGTTTGAAAGAATTATTTAAGATTGTCGATATTAGAAATAAGTAAAGAGCCCATGTTGTAGTGCATGGGAAATATTGTCACAGATAATTAACATTCTGCCGAGGATCTTTGGAAGCACATGACTGTAGGTGTTGGACTATTGATCTGGTCTAACATGGAGTACGTTATCATGGCTGTTGGGTGAAAACTCTACTGGATAAAGTGAATTACAAAGTTTTGACTCTGAGGTGTTTGAAACTCAAAATGACTCGTATCACAGTTGTCTAGTGACATACAAGGCAATTTACTTAAACTTGGCATTTTCCAGATGTGAAGTTTCCATCCAACAGCGGTGTATGAAAATGAGAGTTACTGATGTTAACTTGGCTAGCTTGAGTTGGTTATATCCTCTACAGGCAGTAAGTACAGTACATGGCATTTAACAGTAGAGTACAGATATACATGTTGTAAAACAAAGACAGGAAAACGAATAGTCGTGTTGGAAAAAAAAAAAAATATATATAAGACAGAAAGAAATTCTCAAGCACCGATTTTAATGGTTGACTTGGTTTGGTTCTAAAGTATATTTTGTAAAAGTTTGGGAGTGTACCGGGGCGCTCTGAAGCTCAGGTAGAGGAAGTGTAGCCCTTACAGCCCGATGCCCGTCTCCGCCTCCTCACAGCTCGTCTCCGGTGTGACCCTGCTTGAAGGAGTCGCCCGTCAGCTTCTCCTGCGCCTCCTTCATACCGGACACGACTGAGCAGGGAACACATGCCATGATGGTCAATGGCATTTTGGGAGAGACAGCAGCGACATCACGCTGTAACAGAATCTTTTTCCACAGTAAAATGATAATGTGGATTGTTACCTTGGTCTGCGTTGCTGTAGAAGTACTTGTAGTTGGGATTCCCATTTTTGTTGGTGATTTCAGGATGGACTTCACCGCTGGGATCTGTGAGGAGTCAAATAAAGAGGTTCGCTCAGTTCATATTAATGTTAAAATCTAAACAATAAGGATTTTATGAATTAATCTGACAGTTATTTCTTTGATTATTTGCTCAATAAAATGTCAGAAAAATGCTCCAACAACTCCCAAAAGCCCAGTTTTGTGTTTTCATTTCACTTGTTTTGTCCAACCAACAGCTATAAAGGGTAGTTAAGTAAAGCTCATTAATTTAGTATTATAGAAGACTAATATATACATATAATGCAAATATTAGCATGAGAATCTGGAACCAGCACTTTGTTGTTATGATTGTTACCGACTCATTTTCTGGAAATAACTGATTAATCAACATTGTGGCATAACATTCCTATAATTTGTCCTTTTAATCTTTACATACGGTTTAATGTTTTATTTAACACCACATACAGGTGATATTTTTAACCACTTAGTTTTTCTTTTGCAACATTTCATGCTACCGAAACGTAAACCCAGCCTACTGAAACTTCATCGGGCGCCGTGTGTTATTGAGGAAGATAAACCCAGTCTCTCTCCAAAGGAATCCCACAAACTGTTTACACTTTGTGAGTCAACCCCTCCGTACCAAGGAAAAGAATCCGAGGAATGTATCCACCATCGGGGCTGAAGGAATCATCCTTTGGCTCCTCCTCATCCTGTTCAAAGAAGGAGTTGGTGATCATTTACAAGACTGCAAACAAACCGCAACCACCTCATGATAGATAGACGCGTTAATATCATTAAAACAGACGTTAATTAAACCCTGGATAGTTAAAATGAACTGGGTAAGGCCACTCGACCTGTCCTTACCTCGAGGTTGATCATAACAAAGTTGTGTGCGAGTTCAGAGATTTCCTTGGACTCAGCGAATTTGGGCTTCAGTGCTGATGTAAAACAAAAAAAACAACAAAAAAACAATTAATCGACATCTTGTATTGCGATTAAATCCAAAACCAGCTTTAATAATAGCTTCCCGTTTGAAGGCTTCCTAATGTTTATCTGTACGATATGGTTGGTTTTCTGTCTGAAGTCTCACTTTTAAAAGTCAACTTAATATCAAACTTCAATATCCTTTTTTTTCCCCCCAGTAGCATGTTGTACTGTTTTATCATCAAGGTTACTCAACAAAATCATAAATTATGCCTTTTAAATACAAGACTGAACCAAATTTATGCAAAAACTGCATTCTCTTCTATCCCAGTTATTAAGTTAGATATACAATATATCTTGGTCACAGTCCAGATAGCCCCTTGATCATGATCACGGTAGGAAAAGGCACAGGTGTAAATAATAAAATTAACGATGCCTTACTGGGACACTAGAATAGAGCAGAGACATCATTAGTGTTATTAGTTGCACCTGTGCTTTTCCTGCTATAACAAGTTAAAATGCCTGCCGTGAAGAATGACTCTGGTCGTTGTCGTCTATTGATTGAAGGTGTTACTCAGTGTACAAGTGGAAATTACTGCTCCAAGGAAACCACATGTTCCACAAGTCACTTTTATATTTGGGTCACAACAAAACAAAGTTAGACCAATATAGCTCTTTCAGACAGGGAATATGTAACATTTCCTGCTACATTTACTTGTATCAAGTAATGGCCTTTTGTCACTTAGACATAGGTGTCCTGCATGTATATATTTTACATATTAATCAGACATTGACAGGACAGTTCTTCGCCTGAGGCTTTTATAGTGAAAGAATGTTTTTGTTTTTTTTATATACCTTTGCAGGCTCCACACCAGGTCTTGTGGATGATGAGCATGATTGGCAGCCCGCTGTCGATGCAAACACATGAAGACATTTATTAAAACCGAACACCGGGACAATGAAAACTAGTGGAAGCTTGTGACTGTAGTAAAAAACAAATATACACGCCTCTTTAGATAAAACTGAGTAAAAAGGGATTTATGTTTTAGGCCTCTGGGCCAATGGCTGAGCAGGGTTTCAGGAAGTGTTTGTAATATTTCAGCTCTCAGTGTGAACTCACCTGGCGTCGGCTTCTTTCTTGCCATCATCCAGCGTCCTCCAGTGAATGTTATCTCCAAACCCTGCGGGGGGGAAGTGAACTAATGAGCACACCGGCATTGTGTAACTGGTATTATATTTCTACAACAGGGCGGGTCTGCCCTAAATACAGTATTGACACAAGGAAGTGAGAGGAAACAAATGAATGCTGGTAATTTAATATCAACCAGCAGGGAAATATAGAGTCTGCTCTCTCACATAGAACTACTCACAGTGACTAGCTCGTAGGTCTATATGGTAGCAATGGGACAAGAAATCAATATAGCAGTAGATTATATAGTCTCCTCGTACCAGGTTTATCCACATGCAGCTGCACAACATGTGGCTTTTGTCTTAGGTAAACTTTCTTGGTGGGCTGCTTAACATTATTTCTGTTTAAAATTACACAAATTCGTGAGAAGCATATATGGGGCTTGTTTCAAAAAGTAAAGACAAATTCAATGTGATTTGGACATTGACAGCATGCGTGTCGTTAAGTTCCATTTCAATGATCTAAAAAAATGTTGGTGAAACTTAGTGAACTCTATATTTATATGCTTCTAGTATAACACTGATGCATCTTTCTGTACAGTTTTTATTGCTTGTGCACCTCAATTCATTGCATGCATGTATTATTTAACTTTGTCAATGGGTTCATTTGCAAAAACAGACACGTCAATTTTTTTTGTGTAGGTCTACTCCAGGGAATATCAATCCAACTGGTGTTAGTTTATTCATTGCGTTTGTAATGAACGTTTACAAACAGTTCAAACAAGGAGTTAGTGATCATTTACAAGACTGTAAACAAACCTCAACCACCTCATGATAATAAATATGACAGACAAACGCTGAATAGCGTTTGTCTGTTTTACAATATGCAGATATTTATTTCATTATGAATATCAATTATTTTGGCATAAAAATGTCCTTTTGGAAAAATTAAGTTTAGTCTCATTCTCCATTAAATAAACAAGTTCATTGAAAGTATGTCTGTAGAGTGGTGTCATTGGGCAGTTAAACCAGTCTGTTCACCTGAAAAACTGGAAATAAAGAGTTCATGTGTGGCCGATGATAAGCACACTCTCATTAAACTAACGTGTCCTGTCCCGGACACAGACTTTATGATCCAGGATACTCATACAAAGACAGCCAGCTCTCCTCTGGCTGTGGTCACTCTATCATTGACCAGATATCTATATATATAAAATATAAACTCACCTTTCCCGCTAGCTGCTTCGACGACATCTTGAAAGCACGACAAAGACAACAAAACCTGCAGAGATGAAAATAAAACGATGTGCACGAGAGACGTTTGCATCTTGACTGGCCTTATTTCCCTCACAGCCACGGCTAGAAGCTAACAGCAGATCCTGTTCTTGAACCAGAGACCCGGAAGTTCAACCGTTACATTTCACAGTAAAAGTCTGCCCATTAAAGTTGTGAGTGTGGGGGGCGTGTGTGCGCGTGTGTGTGTGAATGGCCTTCTCCTCCGCCTCCTATTGGTCAAGCAGTGACTTATTTTACATGTTCACATGACGTCACATCCACACAACCGCGTGCTCCTGCCTGCGGCTTCAAACTGGTCAAGTTAGACAACGAAATATCATCTAAAGACCGGAAATCAGTGTGAAAACAAAAGTTTAATAGTCGTGACACATATAAAAAAATACATATATTTAGTGATATAACGTATCAGATCTCACCCAAATACATTATAACTTATATTTCTAACATTTTCTATCAATATGTTCAATACATAAAACAAATAACTACTGGTATGATTCATGATTATTTTATTGTGAAAATATTGATAGAAAGTAGTTTACATTGCTGCTAACTTAATGCGAGATTAAGCCGCAACCGCTTCATAGCTAGTACCGTGCCGTTAACAGTTCAACGGGCTGTCCTTTTAAAAGGTAAAAAACATATAATTTAGTTTTGTGGTTAACGTCTGAACCAGTTTGATTTATCTCTTAATTTAAGTTGACGTTATCGTTCTGCTTTGACAGGAACAAACGGCTAGCGTTAGTCAGTTGGTTTATCTTGTTCAGCCACCATGCTAACATTAGCTAAAATAGCAATCTTGCTAACGCAGGTTAGCAAACCAACTAGCAACAGCTACATTAGACTTAAATGTCATTTTAAAATTTAGCTCCAGATACTTTTCTTTTTTCCATTGAATCCATGTCAGTTAATTCTGATCATCATTAAGTCTTCAATATAACTTTCAGCTGATCGGTAGCAGTCTGCTAGCTCAATGCTACAATGATTATTGTAACGTTAGCTCTGGTTGCCTCACTCATGCTGTGCCCAGTAGACTTCAACAAGTACCGTCGATCACATGTGCTCCCTTTCTGTAGAGCTGTGCATCCTTTCATGTATACTGTATAGATAACGCATTCATTCCACATTATTTGTAGATTGGATTTATGTAAAAAGGAATGGGAATATCACAATAATTAAGCTGTTTTTTCATTCACGAACAGAACACTATGAATCAAGAAAAACTTGCCAAACTTCAGGCACAAGTGCGGATAGGTGGAAAGGTACAGTATATTTTACATATATATATATATATATCTTTTTTTGGACTTGCAGTACTTTTAAATAATCTTGTCCTCTGTTGACAAATGCCCAGTATTTAAACCTGAATCTGGGCTTTCAGATTTGTACTTTTGTCGACCCAGTTGTTCATTTTAAGGAGTGTGATGGCATTCAGCACCTGCCAGGGTTTTCCTCCTGACCTCAGCATTCCCTTTATCGGGCAGAGAATCACTCTCTCCCCCCCCCCCCAATCCATCTGTGGGCTCTGTGGCTTTGTACGAATGCATTGAGGTCTCAAGCCAGCCACCAGGTGGCGCTATTTGTTATTCTAGCTGTGACACAGGCCTTGTGACCTTTTCCAGATCACAATACATTGACATTCTCAAATACAAAGTACATTTACTTTGTTTTTTTAAGTTTAAGTAACAATAAGATCTCATACACGTTTGTTTCCTTTTACTCACAAATAGTTTATTTTAGATCCTGGTTCACAATGTTACTTGAGTAGTAAAATCTCATGTGTTAACCATGTGTTGCGTAAAAGCAACATTTATTAAAAGTTCAATTGAAAATATTAATAATTAAGTGTCTAAACAAACTTGAGATGCCCTTTCCATCTGCTGAAAATGACCTTACAGTTCCCAAGTCCCATTAACTTTTAGAGTCTTATTTCTAATCATGTAGCGGTGATAATTTAGACTTTTTGTACTTTAACAAGGAGGTGTTGTTGAGACTTTTTGGGGAATCGGTTCTCTTTTTTTGTGGACCGTATTTAGCTTACTAGTGCATAAGAGCACCAATGTCAGATCCAAGTAGTGCTTCCTTCAAGTCCTTTCAATGTATCGACATTATTAGTAAGAAGACAACTGTGTGACATTTGTACACATTTCATAAAAACACTGTTTTGGTAAAAAATACACCGCTTCAGTAAAAGCTTGTTCCCGGCTTTACAAGCTAGTGATTCAGGTCTTGTGTTTAAAACGCCATCGCTGTTATCTAGAAATGAGTAAATAATGTGTCAACGATGGAATGGAAAAGTGTTCCAAATGTACATTTGAGAAAGTATGAGGTGACCCAGTGGTGTTGAACTGTATTTGACTTTTCAGTTAGCTATCTAATCCCACCTGTTCTTTCCTCAGGGAACGGCCCGCAGGAAGAAAAAGGTTGTTCACAAAACGGCAACAGCTGACGACAAAAAACTCCAGGGCTCGCTGAAGAAACTGGCAGTGAACAACATTGCAGGGATAGAAGAGGTGAGCTATCAAAGGAAAAGCAATGTCAGCGTTTTATAGCTGCAGTGTTTTGACTTTTTTTTTTTTTTTTTTGTCTGATATGGAAAGATGAAAGACGAGGAGAGCCTTACCGTCATGTCGTCCTGTTTATTTTTAGAGTGCTTTTATCCAACTCACTCCCACAAAGTGATTCAGATGAATCAAAGCACGAAAAAACAGATGCAACTCGAGGATAAGACGCTAACCTGATGCTCACAATTCATTCAGTCATGCTGCAGCTCAATGTACCATTTGGATTTTACAGTAAATTATTAAAAAGATAACTCATTTAAGACACTTCGTACCTTTTTGATTCTTCTGGGTTTATTTCAGGGTCTAAGGATAGAGTAGATGGTTATTTGGGGATGATGTCAGATTTTATTGGCTCCGAGTCCTGACTGCGTGGTTTCTGCTTCCTCAGGTGAATATGATTAAGGACGACGGGACGGTGATCCACTTCAACAACCCCAAAGTGCAGGCGTCTCTGTCCGCCAACACCTTCGCCATCACGGGCCACGCCGAGACCAAGCAGCTGACGGAGATGCTGCCTGGCATCCTGAGCCAGCTGGGAGCCGACAGCCTCAGCAGCCTGCGCAAGCTGGCCGAGCAGTTCCCCCGGCAATGTGAGCAACACTTTTAAACACTCGGTCACAATGTCGGGGTCATCATGATGACTTTAAGACTTTAGTTTACTGAAGCGGAGTTGTGTGACGGCCATGTTTATCTCGAATCATTGGAGACCGAGCAGAGCTTAGATCTGTAAATGTGATCTAGAGAAACCAGTAAGAGCAGCGATGAATGCTGAAGAGAACAAAGACTGTGAGGAGAAGGCAAAGAGTGCAAGAAGAAGAAGAAGAAGAGTTTTTGGGCCGTCTTTATTAATTAAAGTGCAGATATCAGCACACGGTTTGAGCATCTAGATGATTCAGTTTAAAGCAGCTTACCTTTCTGTTTGCATGTAAATTCAAACCATTACAGCGGCCGGGTTTCCTCAGAGAATTTTAGCAGAACACAACAATTTTATAATAATAATTTGGCGTTAACACTCGTACATGCACACTTGTTACTTAAATCTGTAGTAATTATAACAGCAGATACTTTTTTTTCCAATAATCACTTGTTTTTTGTCTTTTTATATATTTTGCAGCAATGGACATGAAAGCAGTAAAGGAGGAAATTGCAGAAGAAGAGGATGACGACGTACCAGGTATAGATGCTTATTGTTTTAATTAACTGAGAGACGTTAAAGTCAAAATGACGCACTACATCTGTTTTGGGTCGTGTCACCATTTTTGTCATCCAAGACAATATGGACATAAACTTAGTTTGTGTCCTTGTGTTCATATGGGTTATATTGCTGCTACAGAATGTTAACAATGAAGGATTAAATCTCTCACTCCCCCTTTAGTTAAACAATTCTGATGCACTTGTTCTTTTCTGTCTTCCAGATCTTGTGGAGAACTTCGATGAAGCCTCAAAGGATGAAGCGAACTGATGAAAGCTTTTTCTCATCCATCAACCGTTTTATTTTTTACCTCTCATGGACTCACAGAGGGCATTTCCTCTTGTGGAGAAACGGTTGTTGAAGGTGCGATGCATCATCTCCGGAGACGTGAACCACTGCGGTTTAGCCTGCCACAACAACAACAACAACAACAACAACAACAACAACATGCAGATACAGTAGGTTTTGATTTCAGTAGGCTGTGATATTGTGGACGCGCTGAGAAACGAGGATCCGCACGACTCTCGGCGCCCGAATGACTCCAACTACTTTAGAAATAGGATTTCCACACGATCCAACGTGGCTAGTATTTAAGAGATTGTTTATTAAATTACAGTTAAAGTGATTCACTTTACATTATAGCGGTGATTTATGAATTTAATAAAAGTTTTTTGGGCTATTGATGCATCTCGTTATTACTTGACTTCTGAGATTGGTGTTGGCCGGGCTGGTCGGCTTAATGCCAGATGACAGGGCAACGAGACGAGTCAGCAGTATTACAGTATTGCATCGCCCGACATGTCTGCTTTGATGAGCATATATATATATATCTATCTATCTATCTATCTATCTATCTATCTATCTATCTATCTATCTATCTATCTATCTATCTATCTATCTATCTATCTATC